CAGGCGTGCTGGCACGGGGCCGGGCACGTGGTTGTGCATGGGTGGTGCACTCTCCAAGCCAAAGCCGACAAGGAGACGATCCAGCTCCTGCTTCTCCTCAGGGCTCAGCACCGCCTGGCCAGGGGGCACCCCAGTCACCCCCGGCTCATCCGTCCGGTCGGTCTTGGTGGAGGCAGTGGAGTTGCCTGAGTCGCTGCTCACTGAGAGTGTGTGCTCAACGTGGTTGGGCGCTGCCGAGAGCGGGAGACGGGCAGCGTTGACGGCACCAGTGCTGCCGTGGAGGGAGTCTTTCTTCTTCACTTTAGCGTAGAGGCTCCCATCCAGGGGCCCTTGCGTGTGCCCAACCTCTGCAGGGGGAGAAACGAACACGAGACCCCAGATCAATTTCTGGCTCTCTACACGGAGCTAATGGGTCCCATTAGCTGGTGGTTTCGATTTCTTCTGTGTGCCAGCACGCTTAACGACCAGCATCGCCGTCTCCTCGGCACCCTCCACAATCCCATGGGTGCCACCATGCAGAGACATCGGAGCCAGATCCCCCCAACCCCATACCCCACAGCCCCCCAGTTCGCACGCAAGCACCGCCTGCTCTACTGGGATTCACCAAATATCCCCTGCCCCGTTTCCAGGCATAATTCCCAGCAATTCCTCTCCACAGCCAGCAAGGGGTGGTGCCCCCCACACAGTCAGCCATCGCTGCTCCACAGGGCTCAGCCAGCCCTGTGGCACCAGGGAGGTAACCAGGGAGGATGGAGAAGATGCACCACAGGCCATAGGAGGACAGGCAGCAGCAGTCAAGATCTGGCCTCGTAGCTCTTTCCAGCTCCAGCTGGATGGATGTACTCAGCCCATGGGTGAAGGACAGATGAACCACAGACCCACCTCCCTGCCTGCTCTCCTCCCAGATGATTCATGGATCCAGTCAGCCAGACATCCTTGACATTTTCTTCCCTGGCTACAGCCAGGCTCCCACACTTTCTGTTCTTCCCCTTTCCTCTCTCAGGCCAGGTCGATCTGCCCCAAAGCTCCCACACAGGCAGCACCTCTGCCCAACCGTGAACATGCAGCATCTGCTCCTGGGGAGGCCCTGGTGCCATGAATTAAGGCCAGTGTGGGCAGTTGGCTCTGCAGCCCCTAAAGTCTTGGGGGCAGCCAGGGCACAGCAGCATCACCACCAGCAATCCTGCACTCCAGCTCTGAGCCCCCCAGCTCCCATCACCCCCGGCAGCATCAACACCACAACTGGCTGCACCTTTTAAACCTTTCTAAGTGGAGCAGACGGATTTTGGGGACAGAGAGGGACCTTGGCCACTGAGAGCAATGGGGATGGCTCCCAAGCCATGTCTCCCCCACCAGAGCAAGCGCAGCACCAACCAGGCTGCAGACTCTTGTTTTTCCAGCTCCCTGCCGAGGTTTCCTGGAAGGTCCCGCAAGCAGTGTTAAACACTTTCTTTTGGAGGAAAAAATGACTCTTCCCTGGCAGGGGGCCAGGCAGCTGACTCAGGGACGGAAGACGGCCCTAACACGATAGTGTGAAATCAGAGCGGTCCTATCTGCAAGCAAAACACTTCCGAGCCGGGACAGCTTAACCAGACCCACACCACCACACCCGCACTCCAGCAGCTCCCACACCACCAACAACCCCTCACCATAAGGGAGAAGGGAGCAATAACACCGAGTTCAAGTCCTACCAAGTCAGAGCCCCCTCCTTGTCACTGATTTTCCACTCCTGAATCTCCACTGGCAGTATCCCAAGGAGGCAGCTGAGCCCCAAAGCCTCCCCTTGGCTTGAAGATGTCCCAGGACCAAGCAGCGAGCTCCTCTTTGGGCACTCAGTGCAGGAAAGGATGAGACTTTCTCCCAGAGACTCAGAGCTCCTTCATCCAGTCAGTATAGCCAGGAACTGCCAGCATTTGACTCCACAACACCTCCCATTCTGGGGAAAAGGGGGAGAGAGGGAGGCAAACCCTCCCCATGGAGAGAGAAAGGAAAAAGAAGAATGTCCAGCGGCAGTGTAAATGCTGGACAGGCTGACATTGCTTGGAGATGGGGGAAAAGGCACAGCCCTCCCATCTGATGGCAGCAATGGATGCTGGCCAGTCTTGGGAAACAGGGCAAAAGCCAGGGTGGGGGCTGAGATAAATAGGGTAGAGGAATAGAAAGGAAAAGGGAATAAATAAATAAATATAAATGAAAGCACGTAGTGCCAAGGGAGAAAATAGATGGCAAAGGTTTTAATTGCACTTTGGGCTATGCACTGCCCCATGGCCACTGAGAGCCATGGAGAGCTGGGAGAAATATCTCCAAGAGGGGTCAGGATGGGGCACAATGAAGTTCATGACAGAGGCAGAAAGCCTCAAGTGCCCCATCCCACCTTCCCTAGACCCTTTGGTCAGGCAGGAACATGGGGGGTCCGGTGGTTGCCCTCCCACCAAGAGCAATACCAGAGTGGCAAGCAAGGAAGGGGCTGTGACACCTCCACCATCAGCCAAGCCCTCATCCTGTGGCTGCTCTGCCCCACACCTGACTGCTCATCCTGTCCTCAACCCCACATACCCCCTGGGCTCTGATGCCATGAGACAAATCCTGCTACTCACCACCACTCCTAGGCCCCCTCCACCACCCCAAGGCCACGCTATCGCTCATATGACTATCTATTGCTTGTCACCTGAGAAGCTGAATAAAATAAAGACTAAGGGATGCGGGGACAGACTGCCTTAGTCAAAGCAGCCATCCTCAAAGCAGTAGGCTCCCAGGATCCCATTTGCAAAGTGTCTGCAGCTACCAGCAAGGTCAGATTTCATCCTGAAGGTCAGAGAAGCTCCAGCCTGGCAGGCTGTGCCATCTCATCGTGGGTTGGGTTTGCCCTGGGCTCAGCCCCAGACACAGCTCTGCTTAGGCTCTATCTGCTCTGGCTATAAGGAGGCAGCTGAGGGAAGCGCTGAGACTAGCCTGGTCCCAGCTCTGCTGCCAGGCTCACTGCCCCAGCAGGGCACTCTGTCCTCTCCCTGCTCAGCACCCGGCAAAAACACAGGTCCAGGACAAGCATGACAATGTGAAGGGTGTCAGCTCCCATCCCCAAAATCCCAACCATCTGCCTCACGCACTGTGGGGTGCACCATACAGAAACGTGCACCAGTACAAATCCTGTCCAGGGTTCTGCACCGGTGCAGAAGACAAGGTTAAGGCACTACCGTGTCTCCCCTTGTTCTGCCCCCAGCAGCATCCCACCTGCTGTCTTCAGTCCCCACCACCCAGAGCCCTAATCCCACTGCATCTCTGGAGCATCAGCCCACAAGGAAGATCCTAGGGTCTCGGGACCCTTTGTAGGATGAAGGGTGTGAGTTAAATCCCACAGAGAAGAGCTTAGCCCCCTCAACTCTGTTTTCATCCTGTGTCCAGATATGACGGCAATGAGCAACCACAGCCCCTGAGCCATGGGTCTCCACAGCCACAAATTCCCTACCCACCCCCCAGCCCAAAGAAAAGCAAAGTCAGGACTTACCAAAAGGGACGGGGAAGAAAGGATCACAGGCGAAGGGAAGGAGCAGGCAGCAAAATCCCTTTCCTTCACCCCTTCCAGCACCAGAGCCTTCCAGGGGCACCTGGTGTGGTGGCAGCTCGAACGGCGTCCGCAGCCGGCTCCGTGCGTCCGTCCAGGACAGGAGCCGACGGCCCGGAGCTGGCTTGGGTTGGCGTTTGTCCCTTTGGCTTTGCCTTCCCTCTCGCGGAGGGAGCTATTCCCTTCCCAGCGCCGTGTCCCGCGGGGCCGCGAGAGGGGCACCCCGACGGCGGCGGGATGCCGGAAAGGGTCGGATACGGGGAACCTTAGGACACGGGGAGCCGGAGGGGAGGATGGAGGAGCCGAAGGTGGCAGAGGCAGAAGATGGGCTGGAAGTAAGGAGGTGCGGCTGTGCTCCCCTCCGCGCCAGACCACACAGGGATCACAGGGAGGAGCGGCAGGGGAAGGGGAGAGGCTCGTAGAGGGCGGCGGGGCCGCCCAAGCCCCAGCCCCAGCCCAAGTTAACCTCAGTGAGGTGCGGAGAGGGTGGGAGCCATGGAGGGAGGACAGCCAGACAGACAGCTTCCAGCTATGAATATTAACTACTTCCTCCACGGGCAGGGCTCCGCCGCGTTAACTGTTTCCTAGGCAGGACGGACAGCCGGACAGCTGGACAGCCTACCCGCCTCCCACGGGCCGCTGAGCATCACCCCCCTGGATGACCCCCTCATTTCAGACACCCAGCCCTGCCTGCCTCCTCCGTGCACACAGCACACCTGTCCCCAGAAAGATGTGACCCATTTGGGGGGAGGATGTCCTTCCAGGCCCCATGAGATGTTGAAACCCAGCCTGGTCTGCAAACCCAAATGCCCTGCTGGAGACTTGAGTTTCTCCATCTTAAAAAACAGCCGAAGAGGGGTGGAAAGTAGCCATGGACAGTCGACCCTGCCGACCCGTTTTCACAACCCCCTTGCCTGCCCTGCCAGCACCACAGGCACAGCATGGATGTGCCAGCACTGTTTGCAGGATGCACGTGCTGCCCTGTCCCGTGGCAGGAGGAATGACATGGATCCCATCCACCCCAGAGCTGTCTGAGACCACACTGCTCCATCCCAAGCAAAATCCATGCTGGGATGGTGCTGACAATTCACTGCTCCAAGTGACAGCAAGCCCACCCCATGTCCGGGCCCCTGCCTGAACCCATGCTCAGGACTCCACTCCTCAGTTGTTCCAACATACTCAGCAAAACGTGAGGCTCCTTCCACTCTAATCCCCCCAGTCGTGTGTTTCCCATACCCCCACGGATGACGACGGGATGAGAGCAGTGTTTCCAGCCAGCCCCCTGACTCACAGCCCTGTTTGCTCCCAGATAGTAGCACATGCCAAGGCAGCATCCTTCCAGAACTTCCAAAGTTTGCTTGCTTCTCTGTCTTATTTTTTGTCTCAGCTGTGTGGCTGTGGCAGGGCAGATACAAAGCTCCCCAATCCTGCCTGGGGACAGCCCCAGCTCTACACATACACACTGCTGCAAGTTTTGACTTCAAGGACAGTTTAAAGGGGGAAAAGAAAGGGTTGAGCTTCCACTAGCAGGTCTCTCTCTATCTGCATCCCAGTCCCAGCAGGAACAAAACTTACCCAACTCCCACCCCACATCACAACCCCAAATACCAGGTCAGAGGACAGATCCTGCCCTGGGAATAGCCACACTCCAGCTAAAATGTCTAGCCAAGCCTGTAGATGCTTCAGTATTTCTCCCATGGGGAATAACCAGAAGCAAGGGGGACACTCCTTATGGATCCCCTTCAAGCCCAGTCAGGTCCCCACTGCCCCACAAAACGCCCACCCCAACAACCCCTTACCTTGCTGCTGACAGAGCAGAGAGCAGCAGACGGGGGCAGAATGCCGGGGGGGGGGGGGAAAGCAGATTCCTTCAGCTTTAGTCAGCTGATGAAGGCAAGAGTAGAGCCAGTGACCCCCAGTCCCCATCGAGACTGGCCAGGGGACAGATCCATCTGGGGGGGAGAGCAGCAGCCTGCCAGCAGCTCCAGCAATGGATTTAACAGCTCTGGCCTGGCCCATTTGGCTCTCTGCCTCTGCACTGCCTAGCTTGCCCTCCTGGGCAGCCTCAGTCCTTGATAAGTGGGGCAGGATTTGACCACACTAGGGAAGGTGTACCTCATGAGATGCCCAACCCACGGGTGACCAACAAATGACAGTGACCCCATCAAGGGGCTTTCTGCCCCATGGAAAGATGCAGGATCAGCATCCAGCTCAATCTGTGGGAGTCTGGGACTCCCTGACCTTTGCCACATGGGGTTCAGGGTCTGCTGTGATCTCCCCTCACTGGACTGGTGAGATGCTCATCCCAGTCCCTATCTCAGCCAGCCCTGCCCTGCAAGTGCGGATGAGCTGCAAGAGAGTTCTACGCCAGAACCATGACTCAGGTGGGGATTTAGCAACTCTCTTGCAGATGTTGGATTTGGCCAGGCCCCAGCCACCCTCTTCCAGCCCCGGTAAAAAGAGGAGGCAGGAAGGGTCAGCCCAGAGTGGGTCCAAGGGCCAGTCGTTATAGGGAGCTACTGGGTTGGGGATGCACGCCCGGCCCTTTAGCATCTTCTCACTCCATCCCAGGGTGGCAGAGCTTGGGGTCCCCCAAGGGGACCCCCTTAGGGTCACACATTCGGACCTTAGGGACAACCCCTCCACTGACTCTAAGCCAGACCCAGCATCCTGTTCTCCATCAGTATTGGTTTTCTCAGCAAAACCAAACCAGGCCATAAATGTTCTCCATCCAGATTTGCCCACCTGCATCTGCAGTACCCCAAAAATTTCTCTGCAGTGATCCTCCAACCAGCTGCAAACCCAGCAGTGCCACATCTAGCTGCCAGTCTCCTCTTGCCTTCCTGGAGCTAGTTTGACACCCCAAGGAAAACCACCACAGTGCTGGCAACCACAAAAACAGCCAGAGGAAGAAGCACGCCATCGCCTTCCTTCAGCCCTCAAATACCCTCTCAGCCAACTAATGGCTATGGGGACTGCAGCAGGAATCTGCCATGGAGTCACCGCTGACCCCAAAGCCCCTCTGAGGAGAAGGAAGAAGGAGGGCAGGCAGAGCCCATGACATATGGACATGCATGATGGGCAGAGGGACAGGCTGTGGGGGTATCCCAGCACTCCCCACTCTCCCTAAGGACCATAGGGCAGCCCAAGCCTAGTGGGCAGCAGAGACCCTGCCTGGGTAAAGCGGGAGGGCAAGTCTGCTGACAGGGTCAGCCTTTGCTGTGGGGGTGGCTGACAGAGACCCCACCTGTTGAATCCAGTTGGGTCCCCTCTGCCAGAGTGCAAGATGTGGGGGTTCAGATCCCCCTCTCATGACCCCCGCTCTGGACGATCTTGGTCAGCTGACAACCTTGCTGCAGCTCAGCTTCCCCTTCCCCAAGTCCCCGCAGATAAGCACAGCAGAGGCATAGGGAACACTAGGACAAGCACCATCCCCAGTCACCCACCTACCCCTCCAGCTTTGGGGTCCCACAGGACCATCCCACCCTGTCAGGCACCTCCAGCCCATATGGGTGTCCCATGCTGAGACAAAGCTGCTGGAGAAAGAGCATTCACCTCTACCAAGCGAAGCTGTGACCAGCAGAGACGCTGCCTGGGGGGACCCACCGTTTGGCAGGCGATGCCGATCCCGTTGGCCTGGGCTGCGGCGACGGTCTGTGGGGAGCCTTCGCCGAGTGGCAGGACGGGCAGTGGCAGGGACAAGGAGCAGCGGCTGATCCCAGCCCCGTGTGGGTTCCGGTGCCAACCTCACCCCCCTCCGCCCCCGGACACCACTCGCTCACGCCTGGTGGTGCCAAAAATGTGGCGTGCAATTCCCTGACCAAATAAGGCAAGAACAACCATAAACAGGGACCCCCCTTGCACAGCCGGGCACCAGGGTCCCTAACCCAGCTTGGGACAGGCTGGATAAAAGTGCTGACAGAGGAAGGAAGATGAGAGCCCCCCTAAGCCCACACTGACTCTCTCTGCTGCTGCTCAAGATGCCCCATGGGGCAGACAGGGAGAGACCCCTATAGATGGGCTTTTCGCAGCTGTTTTGCTGGCATGGGTCAGAAGGCAGCCTCCTGCCTCTGGCTTCACCCTTTGACAGTCCCGGCTCATCTCCAAACTGGGGCAGTGTTTACAAATCCAAGGTGCCCTCATTCCCTATTGCCATCCTCCTGCAGGGAGGACAGCCCAGTCAGCACATGGAGATACCTCTGCAGCCCTGACACCTGTCTAGACCCCCCAAGAGGGGATGGAGAGGAGCCCTGGGGTACTTCTGCAGCCAGGACCCCCATGAGAGGACAGAGATGAGTGCTGGAGTAGCCCTGCAAGGGGCTGGGAGCGCAGAAGCTCTGCCCAGGGGGCCAGAGGGGAACACATGCAATGAAGTACTCAGGCCTCTGCAGGCAGGAGGGGGCTGCCAGGCAGTCTTGTCAGCTTGGGGTCCAACCTGCAGCTCCCCAGTTCCCCACCACATAGCTGAGCCTGGACATCACGAGTTGCCTGTTTACTGCCCGGTGCCAAGGCAAGTGCCTGTGCCAGCTCTGCACTGCTGCCCCAGGTCCGGCTCTACCACCATAACAGAGACACTCTCACCTGCCTCAGGCACCCAGAGCCCCCACCCTGCACTGTGAGCACGGCCACCCACAGCTCCCACTTGAAGCAGCCGGTGACCTTCAGGGACATCAGGGATGGCAGCTGTTCCTGCTCCAGGGACACCTCTCCAGATTGGGCCAGGAAAGCCCAGGCATCTGCTCAGCCACGGGCAGCCTTGCCACCGGGACAGGGTCCACCACCCTTCAACATACAAGTCCTGCCCATTCCTGCCAAGTGGGTGAGGACAGTCAACTTGCTGCAGCCAAACCAGTGCTCAAGGGGCTCTTCCCAGCTCTGAGAGATGCTGCATACCCTTCAAGGCCAGTGAGACATTCTCATGCCCCAGGGATAACTAAGGCATAGCTACATCCTGCCACGTTTGTGCCATGAGAAAGGAGCTGAGATACCTAATTGTCCCCCCATGAAGTCCTGCAGACCTGGGGGTTGGGTTTCCCAAAGCTCTGGGGCATAAACCAGGGCTGGACCCTGCTCATGCAAACAGGATTTTGAGAGTGAAAGTGCTGGAAAAACAGTGTAAGCTCTCTGGCACTGAAGCGGGAGTCAAAGTCCACAAGATCTTCCTCTCCCATCCCACAGCCACACTCCCCCCAGCAGCAGCCATCTGCCCTCAGTTCTGCTGCCCACTGGTGTTCCCTTTCCTGGGGTGAGGGGGATTCCCACAGGGACACTTTGGCCACTGAGCACCCTGTGAGCCCTAACCTTTCTCCAGGTGCTTGCTGGGCAGGGGTGGCTCAGCCCAGGCCCCCTCCGTGCTGTCCTCACGCTGGATGTTGAAGTTCTCATAGGAGTCCCACCGGATGAGTGGGTCGGATGTGTTGTAGTCCACAGAAACGCTGGGCCCGTTCTCCAGGTGCTCCATGCCTGGGAATAGGCAGGATAGTCAGTCGGGGTGACAATAGAACCAGCAAGGGTAGGACAGGGGGAGGAGATGGAGAAAGGTTCAGGCAAGGAAAAAAGAGAAGGAGCCATAGGGTAAGGCAGGAGAGTCCTACAGGAAGGGTAGCATTAAGGACGGGCACAGGATGTACATCAAAACCCACAAAGTGTACAAGACTGCCCAGGGCTTTTGGGATTGCCTAGAGACAAGCACACAGGCTGATAGTGAGTGTGCATGGTCTGGAATTTTTGGGCAGGGAGTCCTTCATTCCCAAGCACTCCCTCTTTCTCTCCTGGGCCAGCAAGTGCTTTGGAGAGCAGCCTCCTGGGGAAACAAGAGAGAGTGATAGGGCATCCATGGGTGCTCCTAGATTAGCCTCACTGCGTGGACCCCTCATCCTACCCTGGTGACAAAGAGGCTGCAATGGGGCAGGAGGAGGTTGCAAGGGAGACAGGAGGGTATATAGCTAAGGAAAGGGAAAGGAGACGGCATCCAGCTCCAAACCCCTAAGGCAGTGAGTCAGCCATACCTTGGATCTTCTCAGGGCCATAAGAGAACACAAACTCCACCTTCCCATACTCAGGGAAGCGGTCATCTGTCAGGGAGAGAGCAGAGTAAAGGGACCATCTCCATCTATGCTTCCAGTAGCACCCACACAGTCACCCCAAACGTGCTCCACAGCTTAAGGCAGGGAGCTGGCAGGGATATCCCTGCATGGGGCAGTGCATCTCAGCCCCCAGAACAACCCCAAAGCAGTCGCTCTGCATCAGTACTGGTTTTGGTAACAAAAGGGATGACGGTGCTACCAGTCCACATGCAGCACCACACCCTGTGGATGGAGCAGGGGTGCCCTGCTTGGTTGCAGTGGATCTGGGATGGGTGCCCAGATGCCCCACGATGAGACCAGAGTTACAGGGGCAGGAGGATGAGGGAGTTTGGAGAAGGGAGGTGCCGGGGCAGTTACCTCTGAAGGCCTCATCCAGGTCCTCCTTGCCAAAGACAACATCAAGGTCGTGCACAGCACACGTGTGGAACTGCACACGGAAAATCACATCACGGGTAGGGCTGCGAAACTTCTTGTGGTAGCACTTCAGCTGCAGAGGGGAGTAGGGATGGGCCATCAGGATAAGCCCCCAGAGCTTGGCAAAGGGGAATCTGGGGATCCCAACACAAGGCAACCACCCTGGCTGCTTTCTACACGGAGGATCCTTACCAAGATATCGCCCTTGAGCAGCAAGCCAGGCTCAATGGTGATGCAGATGCCTGTCTGGCTGTCTCCTTGCACGTTGCTGCAGAGAGGGATGGTGGGAGGATGTGAGCTGTGGTGCAGAGGCCTCCAAGAGCTCCCAGCACCACCGCAACCAGCCCTTCTACCCAAATCCAGCCAGGAAAGGTGCATAGCACAGAGCTGCGCCCCCCTGCCCCCAGTGACAGAGAAGGGTTCCGTCCATCACCCCAAGGGGCACCCATTCCCAGAGGAAGGAGGACAGGAAGCGGAAACTGAGGCACAGCTCACTAAGGGTGGGAAAAATGCTGGGTGGGAGGGTTTGACCAGGATCCAAGTGCTGAGACTGGGCTATCAGCCATCCATCCAGCTCCCTTAGTCAAGCAGGGCATTGGACACAGAGGGAGAAATCTCAGGGAAGACTCTCCTCCCTGCCTCAGTTGCCCTGACAGAAGCCCTCCCCTTTGCAGTGTACCACTGAGGGGCTGCCTCTGGGTGGTGGCGTCAGCAGTCGCAGACAAAGGAAGAAGGGAGTTGGATTTCACAGGCAAGATAAACCTGGAGTTTATTACAGGCATCCCATAAACAGTCTATTAAAAGCTGAAAGGCGAGACTGGGATGGCAGTAAATCTCAGCTAACGGGGACTGCAGGGAAGGGAGATTCTGGTCCAGGGGTTTAAGATGGGAATACCCCGGAGGTGAGGTGCTCTGCTCCCTCCAGGGAGGCCAGGAGCCATGGGTCCCTGGGGTGTGACGCTGGCAGAGTGTATGAGAGGCTGGAGAAACTGACTCCTGCTTTTACCTTCGCCAGTGCCTGCTCCCAGGAGCAGTGTCAGAAAAGAATTGTGCAGAGATTAAAACAGGAGGAAAATATTTTTTTGGAGAGAGAAAGAGGGCTTTTAGGACTAATCCAAGCAGGAGGAGCAGTTCTTTGGGCAGGGAGAGAAAAAATGCCTTCATCACACCTGGGACGTGTCCCCATCTCTGTCCCCGTTCCCTCCAGGGACACCCAGCCCCAGGCTCTGCGCAGCCCCAGGCTCCCTCTGCTGATACACAGAGTCACTACAGCCCTCCCGGCAGAAGGGCCCAGTAAGGCCCAGTACAGCCAGCTACCACCTCCAAAGAAAAGGACGCCCCGTTTTTTCAGTTCCCTGGACCCCAAAGAGACTAAGCACAGAGCACCAGACTGCAGGGGACTTGGCCTTGACCCTCTCCATCTTCCCCTGCTTGGCTTGCCCCCCATGCTGGGGAGGAGGAAAGCCCCCATGGCAAGGAGATAGTTACTAGATCCCCGAGGTGTAGACGGGCTGCATGGCCTGGTAGATTTTCAGGAAGGGACGACAACCTGGAAGACATCAAGGCGGGAAGAAAAGGCACACTCCTGTTAGGCGGCTGGGTGGAGGGGCCAGGGCAGGGATTAGTCACGGGGGAGAAATCCAAACAGGGAGGGAGCCAAGGCAAACAGCCGCTCCCCATCCCAACCAGCCCACACCAACCACGGGCAACATCTGAGATGGGCAGAAAGGGATGCTCTGCATGAGCTGGGAAAGGGGAAAGCCCCTGCAGCCCAGTTTGGGTCCTGTAGGACCTCGAGCAAGTGCTGGGCTGAGGATAGAGGTAGGATGATGATCTGAGTGAGGTACTGGCACCAGGCAGGGTACTGCATGCCAAACCCCATCTCCATCTGGTGCCATCCTCCCAAAAGCTGGCAGAAAAGCACTGTCACCCCACAGCTCAGGTTAGTGCCCAGCACGGGGAGGGCACCCCCCGAGGGCAGGGTAGCACCCTGCCAATAGGAGTGAACAATCTCTGAAAGGGAAAGGGAAATTCAAATTGCCAAGGAAATAATGAAGAAAATATTGCCCATCGAGGACAAGCCTGGCCATGCAGTGTGGGATAGTGGAGTGGGGGGGAATGAGGCTGGGGAAAGGAGTCGGGGGCACCTACCGCCTTTCGACTCAAAGTTGGGGATGCCGTGCATGATGACGTGGTGGAGGAAGAGGGGCTTGTTGTTCATCTTGATGCTGCCAGAGAGGAGCCCACTGAAGTAATGGATGTACCTGAAGGAAAGACAGGCAGCTCAAGAGCAGGACCCACAAAGAGCATCCACCTTGGACCCTGCATCCAATCACTCTGGCTCTGGGGACAAAATCCAGCCTGCAACGGCTTGCCGGAACCCACCTCTTTTGGGATGGCTGTCCCACTGGCACCACCTTGTCCTCATAGAAGCGTTTCATGGCAAACCTGTCCAGAGCCTGGTCAGCGCTGTGGGGCAGATGAGGTTGAAGGAAAGTACTGGCACCAGCACCACAGCACCGCTGGTGTGGAGGTCAGCAGTGGGCCCCAGGGCCACCCCAGGATTGCATGTCCCTCTCACCTGGCTGAGATGTTGCTGTAGTGCATGTAGGCAGCCACTACCACCCCCAGCCGGCCACGGTTCCCCTGCGGGCACACAGCAGAAGGGGTGTCATGGGGCAGTGGTGCCTGCGAGTGCCCAGGCACAGCTGTCCCACACTGAGGCAGGCACACACTGGTCCCTATACGCACACGCCAGCACGCACACCCCCCAACCCTTATTAGACACACACCAATCTATGCATACATTGACACCTACCCACATACCAAGCCACCAACCACCACATTCCCTGCATCCTTTGGCCTCTGAGGCCACTCAGCCCCATCTCTGTAGCCCTGCAGACCCCCAGTGCCTCCATCACTGCACACCCTGGGGATGGGTTCAGCCCACCTTGTTGTGCAGGACCACCACATTGTGTGCCGCCGCATTGAGCCATGTGTCCATGGCTTTGCAAATGCTGCAAATCTTCTCCAGCGCTGGGGTGTGCATGTCAGGCCACCCAAAATCCAGCACCTGAGCAGGGGGAACAGCCAGAGGTCACATCCACATGCCTCCCTGCAGAGTCCCCAGCCTGCCCATGTGCAAAGCCCAGGGCATGTACCCAGGGTGGGCACCACTGTGTTGCTCTGATGTGCCCCTCCCAACCCCAACCCTGCACCCCACTGCCCAGGCCCCTGGCCCAGGGAGGCCATCATGGTCCCAGATCTCAGGCCCCTCACCCCAGGTCACTTGGCTCAGCTGCTCAGGGTTCCCCATTGTCACAGGGATAGAGACAATGCCTTACAGAGGTCTCCAAGAGATCCCAAACGGCCAGGTTTGGGCTGGGAATGGAGGATGGGGAAGGCAATGGGAGTCAGGCTGAGATACCACAAACCCAGTGGGAACTCTCAGTGCTTTTCTCAGGGTGGGTTCTAGCTGGGTGGAATAGAGAAGGTGGCTGTTCCTCCCCCAGACATAGCAGGAGCTGGTCCTGCAAACAGCCCTGCCCTCAGGCCCAAGATTCCCTCTGCTTCCCACAGCTGTGACCCACCTTGGGGTGAAGTTTGTTGACATCACGTCTCCGTTCAGATAGGTTGAAAAGCTTCAGAGAAGAGGAAAAACAGAGTGAAGGGACATCTTCCTACCTCACTGCTACCTCTCATCTCTTCCTCACCCCAAAGCCTCCCCAAATCCTGCCATTAGAGTAACACCTTGCCACAGGGAGACACAATGATCAAAAACTCCCAGGGTGAGTTTCAAAGAAGGAAAAAAAATCTATCCACCTTAGTGCAAAGACCCTCCCCTCACCAGAGCTAAGCTCAGACAGAGACAAGGACGCAGTACCCACCCCCCGCAAGCACCCCATCCCTAGGGTCTGAGCACCCCAGCCCCTTCCCCAGCCTGACAGGGATGCAGCTGTGCCCCTAACCACATAGTTGTTCCCATGCTTGGACTTCAGCATGTGCGCCACTTCACGGAGGTTGCTGCAGTAACTCTGCTCCTCAGCCACACTGGGGTAGGAGACGGCAATGATCCGCTCCGTGATGTACACCAGGTCCAGCTCACAGCTGCTCTCCATGGCCGTAGTCAGGCTCATGCTCCTGGGCAAGAGAGGGGACCGCTGTCAAGGAATGGCATGGGGAGGGGACACAGTGACCCTTCCCCAACCTGTGGGATGGGCTGGGACACAGAGCAGCAGAGCAGCCTGCAGCCTTTCCCCTGCTCCCAGACCCATTGGGGTGTCTGGGGGACCCAAGTTAAGGATGGTGGATCATAACCCCCATATCTTCTCCATTGGGAGCATCTCCCAGGTGTAGCACATCTGGAGAAGCAAAGTGTTGGCAGAGAGGGGGAGGTTCATGCAATGCAGAGATGGTCACCAGAAAGGGAAATTGAGGCATCTACCTGGATGTTTTGCAGCGTGACTGCCCACTCCTGGAGGATTTTGTGGCATCCTAAAGAACCAGAGAGGAAAAGCAAGTTACCACCATGACCCAGTCACAGACAGCACAGGGGTCCTGCTGGGGCTGGGTGTGATAGTGCTGCCGACACATCCCACCCCCACCACACTGCACTGCACATGGTAACACCCCCAAAACATCTCCAAATATTACCCACCAAGCATCCCAGTGGCACAAACACCTTGACACCATCATTGTCCCCCCTCATCCCACAAGCAAAACCCAAGTCTCACAACCACAGCAGCTGGGACCAGCCACCACAGGCACTGTGGGACTGGTGCCTTGGCAAAGGGTCCCAGAGGACCTTTTGGGAGGATGCTGAGTATGTAGACACAGTCTAAGGCATGTCAGAAGTCTCTCTTGACTCTGTTAAGCTGCGTACACACACCTGGTGGGACAGAGCTGCTTTGGCCCTACCCAGAGCAGAGGCAGGTTCACTGCCCAAGCAGCATCGAGGAGCCAGCCAGGCACAGCAGTTTGCTTTGGCCCCGGCTCTCCTGAGCCAAATGCCTGGAGGAAATGTTTGAGCTCTCAGAGCAGGAAACTTCTATTTATGCATGTTCCCCGGCCTCGAGAATTTCATCTGCAGCCGGCTTGCTCAGTGACTTTGTGACCTCAGCCGAAAAACAAAGCAGGGTTTCCAAAAAAAACTGCTAAGGAAAAACACACTCGCAGCTCATTAGTTATAGTATCTCCAGCTAATAAGCGGGAGTCATTTAAAGACTAATCTTGGGCAGATAACACGTCCCAAGCACCTGGAAGGATCAGAAATAAGAGATGCATCCTGCAGCTGGTTCCCAGGATGCCCCTTCTGTCCATGAAGCTGCAGGACCTGCTGCCACTCTCCTCGGGCTGCAGCACCCCACAACCATTACATCAAAGGGAAGTGGGAGAGAGGTTTCCGACACTCTTCGCCTGCCATCTTCCATCCAGTGCAGTCCCAGAGCTGCTCCAGTGGGCAGCCAGCATCACCCTCCCTTGCTCCTTTCAAGGTCAGGCTGCCTGGTGGAGCAGGGTCAGGCTCAGCAGCCCCAGAGCCTGGGGACAATCATCTCCCCTCCCAGTCAAAGCCACTCCAGAAGGCAGCAGCCCTGCCTGAGCACTCAAGGGTGCTTGGGCAGGAGTGACAATTCCCCCTCCAGGTTCTCCTCAGGGTGCCCCAAATTTCCTGCTCACCCGAGAAACACTCCAGCATTGCTGAGAGCAAATAAGGAGTTGAAATGCAGCAAAAAGAGAAGTAAAACCTTTCCTGGGAGAGCTAGGGTGTGTGGAACAAGCCTGACCCAGAAAGTGGGCTCGTCCCTGCATCACCCACCAGTGACCAGGATAAGATCTCCACTGTGACTCCTGCTCTGCCCCAAACCTTTGTAATAGAGACATCTGGGGTCCCCCATCCACACCACCAGCCAGGAGAGCCCTGTCAGCCCACATCACCACACCGAGACACAGCAGCCTCCCAGTCCAGCCTTGCCCAAAGGAGATCTGACATGGGGCAACACAGACTCATGCTCCTCTCCCACAGGGGTAAACTGAGGCACAGGAGAGTGAGCAAGGTGGGGACACCAGAGCCCCTCTCCCTTACCATACCTTGACAGCAGTGAGACCCTTGCTAATCCATTTCCATGCCATGGCAGCTCCACTCCTGACACTCTCCAGGCCCAGGAGAGCGGGTGCTCGCAGAGAGGGCCCTCCAGTGTCCCCTGCCCCATCAAGAGCCCTTGGGCTCTGCCCTGCTCCCCAAGCTCTGCCCTCCTCCCCCTGATCTAACCACAGCTGCACTGCCAGCTCTGCCGCCAGCCCCTGCACGAGGAAGAGTCAGCCTGCGATCAGCTGATAGGAGAAAACGCTCATGTTATTAAACACTCCTGCCCGCCACTGGACTGGGAGATCCTGCAAACATCCTCTCTGGAGGAGAGACTCCAGCCAAGCCAGTATAGGCAAGTCCAGCCCAGCACAGGACAGGCTGGTTCCAGTCACATTGGGTTGAAGACCCCTCTGGCAACACCATCGAGAATACGCCTCCCAATCCCAAGCTGACTTGGCATATCCCCAGGCTCCTGGAAGCATCCAAATCCCACAGGTCCCTTCTACTTGGAAAGGGTGATGAGAGGCACAAGAAAGGCTGCAAAAATACCAGGAAACTTCCCCAAAAGAGAGCAAAGCCAGCAAAGGAGGCTCCTGATTGGATTTTTCTAGCTGTGGGTGCTCTTTCTCCAGCTCAGACAAGGGCAGCAAACATGTCCTGGACAACCGAAGGGATGAGGTAAAGCCAGATCCCAGGTGAGGAAGGCTTTCACTCTCTTCCTCATGGGAACCATCGTGCCTCCATCCCTTGGGTCCCAGCCCCAGTGCACAGGGAGGCCGGCGAGCTGGCTGTGGGCAAGGGCGGGGGAAGCCGTCCGCGTTGACTTTGGCAGTGCATTTGTCTACACTGTCTTAGCAATTTCATGTCCATAGATTAAATAACAGATCCCTGGCTCTGAGACAGGAAAGCCAGCTTTGCAGCAAAAGCCCTGGCCCCCACTACGCCATTCTCCACCACAACCTCTGCCACCAACCCTGGGCATCTCACTTGGCCTTTGGCATGGCCATCATCACCTTGGCTGGCAGGGAGGGAGAGCTGGGGGGTCCCAGGGATATTGGGAGACCACAGGAGCATCCTGGATTGAGGGATTTTGGCTGCAGGGGGTGCTTGCAGCAACGGGACAGGCACGAGTAGCCCCCCCAGGAGGCCTTGAGGCAGAGATCAGCCTCCATGACTGGTTGCACTTACCAGGGTGTCTACCTGCTTGGTGATGCTCTCCCCTGGGGATGGCTGCAGGCAGGAGGAAGGGGAGAGAGAAAAAGGCAAGCAAGAGAGAAGGAGAGATTGAGAGACATGCACACAGAGCAGGGACCACAGCCAAAATTCCCCCTAGCTATTTCTGGTCCTTCCTAGGAAATGCTCAATGGTCCCACTTCCTTCCTTGCCTACCAATATGTCCACTCTTCCTAAAGGCTGAGAATCCCTCAAAACCTAAGCACAGAGCTGGGGCGAAACTCAGGTACCAAGGATGCTGCCATCCTGCCTCCCAGCAGCCACCTCTCACACTCAACCAGTGTCGCAGATTGGGAGCACTCAGCTAAACCCTCAGCTTGCTCCATGATGGGCACCCAGTGCCCTCCACATCTCCAGGGTCCCAGATAGATCCTCCATGGTCAGACCCTACAGCCAGTAGGTAAACAATGGGGCAAGCCTGTGCAGTCCCATACCCAGCCTGGCCACTGTCCACCAGCAGGCTCACCTCCTCAAGATAAAACCGGCCCCACAGGGCCAGCAAAGGACCCTGACGGGAGCAGAACCAGGGTCTGAGATCTTCAAAGTAGGCACATTTAGTGACACGCCACTGGAGTCTACAGAGAGTTCTGAAACAGGAATTAACTTCTTGAGGTTGGGGAGAGCATCTGGACCCCAAATACAGGGAGCAGAGGACAGATACCTCTGCCTGAGGATGGTGGTTGGGGTGCCTGAGGGTGGCACAGCAAAAGGACCCAGCTTGGTGGTTTATATGAGTCTTGGGACCAGGAAGGTGGAGGGAACCCCCAAAACCAGGTTCCTCCAGCCCTGGCAGCAGGGCCAGGGCAGACATTTCCAGCCACGGGACAGGACAAACCCCTTTTGATTTCCTCTCAAAGCCACAGTAACGGTCCCAGCTCAAAGTCAACATGTTTTTGCTGGTGATAAGTGCCTGAGGAGGTTGGCAGGGGCGGCAGGGTGCAGGCAGAGATTAAACCTGGGGCAGATAACCACCACGGGGCCCCAGGGCAGGCAGCGTGCTCCACTCCCACCCCATCCCCTCACTCACTTGGGCTCTTGCGCTGCTCTGATGAGCTTGCAGGGGGTTGTCCCCTACACCCACCCACCTAGGGGTGAGACCTCTGCCCAGCTATGGGGTGCCCAGCCCAGGGCCCCCTGTGAGGCACAGACACTGCAAGCACTGCCAGGCTGCCGAGCCCGAGCTGAAACCCTGCCAGGGCCTCCTCTCCCCAGCGCCTGCCCCAGCAAGCCTTGGCACACTCTGGAGCAAAAAAAGAAGGGCGGCCACGCTGGCCCCAGGCTCTGCCAGTCTCCCTGCTGCCACGTGCCTGCTTTGCCTGCTGCCACAGGCATTGCCAGGCTGGGGATGGGGCAAGGGAGCTGCTTTGCTGGCAAGACGCTGCCTGGTGGGCACCATCGCGTCACACTTCCCAAACCTCTGGCTTGGACATGGCCCTGCTCCAGGTGACATCTCAGTGCCCTTGCTACTCCCAGAGCCTAGTCATGGCCTAGAGCAGTGTGGCAAAGGACTGTGGCTGCCTGCCCAGTGCCCCTGCACCCATCCTCCTCAGGACAGGGTGAACAGAGATGGCATGCCCAGCTGCTTTCCTGGTGTCCAGAGAGCACAGGGTGGGAAGGGCTGTGAGTCTCCCTGGCCCCAGCAGGTTGTTAAAGGTCCCCAGGAGGGACAAAAGTAGATGGTGACAGTAACAAGAGCTGCAAACGCACAGCCTTGGGCGCCCTGAGCCAAAGGCACATCTGGTATAACCATCTCCGGGCGTGCGAGAAACCGCCCTGGCTGTGGCCAGGGAGGGAAGGCCCTCTGTACCGGGGGACCCTGGAGCCCTGGCTGGTCACGTCCCATCTGCCTCTCCCTCTCAGCAACCCTGCAAGTTCCTCTTCCCTGAAAGCTCCAACTCCAGGAGTCCCACGATGGCTGGGCTGCCCCGGCTTGTGTTGCTCAGATGTGGGATGGCCTGCAGCCAGCAATACTGGGGGACACAGCACCAAAATGGGGGGTGCCCTTACCCTCAGCTCAGGACCCCTTTGGTTTTGGGGGTGAAAGATTCACATCCTGAAGCCCCTGGGTAGAGAGAGCCCCACACCCAGCGCAGAACAGGGTGTCCAGTCCCATCTAGCATCCCCAGAGCCCCACTCATGGCTCACAGTGGGGTGTCACTTACCAACTCATAGTTGACAGTGGGGGAGCAGGGGGTCACAGCCTGCAAGGAAGCAGAAGAGAGCCAAGATTAGTTCCTGCAGCCCCCTGCACAGCATGGGGCATGGGAAGGGGCTGGGCTGCAGCATTCACCCCCCACCCACTCCCAAGGGCCCACCCAAGGGAGTGACAGGGTCACCCACAGCCCTGCCGTTCCAGGCAGGAGCCCAGGCAGCATCCCTAGGTCAAGGCTGGGCTTCCTGGGAATGGACTCAAGGCCATGGCAGAAGTGCCATTCATCCTTGGCCAGGGAGCCAGGATAGCCCCAGCCCAGCCCGGGTGGGCACGGCGGGCACGGCACAGCACAGCACAGCACAGAGTGGATGCCTGATGCCAAGAGCAGCTCCTGGAACAAACTGCAGCCTGGCCTCGTGAGCTCCTGCAGCCGCCAGCTGAACAGCCCAGCTATTGTTACCTTAATTACCAGCGGCAATTACTGACAATTAACCTTGGGTTTTGCGTGCACCCCAGTCCGCCGGGAAGCAGCAGCATGCCAGGGTGGGAGAGGCAGCGCCTCGTTGGTGCCGGGGCAGCGGGAAGAGGTGCTCCAGCCCTGTGTTGGCCCAGAGATGCCAACAGTAGCTGGAGGGTGTGATTAGGGTCACTTTGACCTCTGCAAACCCCACCACTGAGTCCCTAGGAGCGGTGACCACCCCCCTTCAGCCATCCCCTGCCCCATGCCAGGATGGAGCCAATACAGCAAACATCACCCAGGGGCTGGTTCCCCACCATGGCAGCATGGGGACCCCCTGCACCCCACTCAGTCTCTCCTGCCCTGGGCCATAAAAAGAAGGATTTACCACAAGCACCCCATTTGGAGCACCCAAATCCCAACCCATCCCAGACCCCACAGGGTGATGGCCAGTGCCTGCTCCCCTCCCCGGCTGCCAGCCTGCTCTCATCCCCTCTTGCTGTTTTTTTCAGGGGTTCCGCCTGCTCGTGCTCCCTTCCCCTGTGCATTATTATTATGATTTTATTCTAATGCAGAAACGCTTCCATAAAAGGCCCCTTTCCCTGCCCCGCGGCGCTGGCCCCGCGCCAGCCTCCCTGGAATGTTCTCCGGCAGCGAGCCGCTGCTGCTGCGGACGGAGCTGACGAGGGCTGTGCCGTACCCCGCACCGTGCCCCGCACGCTGCCACACTCTTTCCCTGGGGATGCTCAACCAAGGGCCCCTGGCCCCCACCCAGTCCCAGCTCCAAGGCCAGTGATGGGGGGAGATGCACAGCTCCCCCACCACAGGAATGCTGGTCCCACAGCCAGGTAGGGTTCATGCCCACCCCTCCTCTGCTGTCGGCATGAGGAAGTTTGCAGGCTACAAACGCTCCTCTGGCTGGAAAAGCAAGAAAACTGGGGTGCCTGTGGTTGTATTTCCCTGTCCTAGCGGATTCTCTGATGTCTATATGGGCTTGTGGTCACCCAACACCAGTCTTCCCATCCACAGGAGACACCAACCCAGGTTATATGGCACTCTCTCATCCCAGAAAGGCAGTTTTAGGAGGACTGCAGGAATGTAAAGCTGTTTTCAGCTACCATCCCTCTCTCAAGTTTGGCTCAAACGTGCCCCCAGTTCAAGGAGAAGAGGCAAGACCCTGACCCAGTCAACGGACCACTTCTTAGAATTCCAGCTCCTGACCTAGAGGTGCAGGAGCACCCCTCCTGCCCCATAGGACTGGCGAGAGTATCACTTCATACAGGACCGTGGCAAACCCCAGAACCGCCACCATCTCTGCCCTCAGGGATGCCTGCATCTCCCAGTGCAGGGGGTGGTGGGAAAGGCGGGGGGACCTGCACACCCCTGGTCCAGGCTTTGCCTTGCTGTGGCAGACACAGCAGCCTTTCTTCTCCCCCTCACCGGTGTTTGCATTCCTGCCGGCTGGCCCCCGCCGCTGCGACCCCGCCGCCCGGCAGCCCTGCCCAAGAATGTGAGGAACGAGGCGCAGCAGGGCTGCCGCCCACCCCACCAGCCCCCCACGGCCCCCCACCCGGCCCCCCAGGTCGCAGCCCCATCCCTTCCAGCAGCCACATCCCACAAGCTTCTGCCTTGAGACCCAAGTTTTGCCAAACAGAAAAATCAGTTTCCCAGTGAACAAGACCCTGTGGTCACGAGTGATGGGATTCCCTGATGTCTCATAAAGGGTTGGGCACACCCTGCAGCCTTCCGCTGGAGAGTGGTGATGGGCTCCCTGACTCATCTCCAGCTGTCACTATACCTAGAGATACCTGATACCCTTTAGATGTCCAAGACCAGAATTAAACAACTGGCTGGCAAATCCCTGACAATCCCCAGCCATGCCACCACAGAGTATAGTAGCCCATGGGATCCCTCTTCCACCTAACCCTTCCAGCTGCAGCTCGGGGACTGACCTCTGCACCACATATTCCCGACAGGACTTCAGCACCATTTCACAAGCACTGAGCGAGGCTGGAGGAATGCAGATATCCACCACGTATCCAGGGATGAGACACCTCAGAGCCTTCTCCATGCTGCAACCCCCGCTCACACCTCCTTCCCTCAACACCTCCTTCCTGTCCCTCCTCCTCCCTCAGCAAAATAACCCTTGCACCCGTGGAGGTGCCCAGGGTCATTGCCAGGTCCTGCTCCAGCTCGAGCATCCCCATGAGTTGTAGCCCCAACCTGTAAGATGCCAGCAGGGCTAGGGGGAAACAAACCTCCATGGAGGGGCCCTGCGATTCAGGAACAGGCTGGATCAGTGCAGTAGTGGGCGCGCTGGGGTCTCCCCAGCTGGGCTGCTGGAGCCGGGCAAGTGCTGGCCCATGGCCCACAGCATGGCCCGTCTGGCTGCCGGTGGGTGATCCAGGCCCATCTCTGACGCATATCCCTTCCTTTGGGTGGCGGTTTTTGTTTTTCCCTTCCCCAGGAGCTCCGATAAACATTCCGGAGCTGGCTGATATCCGGGCTGGTGCTGACCCTTACGATGCCGGGAGCAGATGCAGCCACCTCAGCCACCACAGCCACCTCAGCCCTCACACAGACCCCAGCACACCATAGACGCTTCCCCTGGCCAGGCACTGAGATGCCAGCAAGCCTGCCCTGCTGGTGTGGTCAGAGCTGGAGACGTGCTGTCAAAAGGGACACTCCAGCATCCTGGACCCTCCCAAAGTGAGCCAGCATCAGGCAGGCACAGCCCTCATTGCTCCACTACTCAGAAGGGATGTGGACCCCAAAAGAGGGAAGCAAGGCACCCTAACTCCCTCCAGCTCTGGTACAGGTTCCCCTGCCCAATCCACTCTGTGGGCTGGAAATGCAGCTGCCAAAGAGTGTAGTGACTCAGTGGCCAGATTGGCATTCCATGGGACAAGGCTGGGTAGCATCAGGGTCAGCTCAGTCCATGTCACCCCACATCATGGGGTCCAACATCACCCCTCAAGGGACCAATTTCTCTCTAGCAAGTTCACCTCAGCTTTGTGCCAATCTTGCCTCAGCTGGGCTGTTAATCACCTCCCCATGCCCCCCACGACTTTCTGCTCATCCCAAGACCCTGCTCCTGGCAAGGAGGGGCCCAGGGACAGCCATGGACCACAGCAACTCCCTCAGCCATCCCCAGGGCCCTTCCCCTACTTTCCAGTTCCTCCAGCCCTGACACAGCCACCAAGCCTTGCCAAGTCCCATCTTAGCCATGGTATGGGGCAGAGTGTGAGCCACCATCAGAAACCTCACAGCAGAAGACACTTTTAAGTGACAGGTTGGGACCACCAAACTGGGGATGTTGGGGAACATTTTTCCCTCTCCAGCACCCCAGTTCCCCCCTTCCCTATGTGACAAGCCACAGCATCCTTCCCCCCTGTAAGGCATAAGGGACTATGGGGTCCAGGTTCTGGCCACCCCCTTGCCCTTCACAGGGGTCAGGTACCTCCTGCCTACACCATGTGCTGCCTGTTCCTGCCCTCACATTTTTTGCAGCTCTGGCAAAACTCCTGTTTATGCAATACGTCCCCGGTAGGAGGACGGCATGTTTCCATCCACGCCCCTGCCCTCCCCCCGCCCCACCGCCCAGCTCGCACCTGCCCGCACAAGCCCCGGTGTGCCAGGAACAGGGCAGCCACGCAGAGCCCCAGCCCTCTGGCATGGGGGTCTCAGGGAGGAGGCAGCACCCCAGCACCACAAAGCCCCTCTCTGACCCCACCAGCACTCAGGGGCTCTGCTGCTTTTGGGATTTCTCCCATCGGGTGGGGATAACTGGCAGATGCACCAAAAGGCCGGGGAGCGGTTTGGCCAGTAGCTCAGGGTGAGTCATCTGGGCTGATGCTGGGGCACAGAGGTCTCACCGCTCCCAGGCTTCCCTCCGAGAATCCCCAGCCCTCCTTGCAGCTGAGCCAGGGACTGTCACTGTGCCATCGCCTCCATACCTGGATGCAGCCCCCATGCCAGGGCAGGTTGCCCTGTCCCTGCATTGCCCAAGAGATGCAGGGAGGATTCCAGAGGGCAAAGAGCTATCCAGGGATGTTCCCTAAGCAGGGACAGATGCTATCTCCTCTGTCTCTTCCTCGGTATGTCCCCGAGGAGCCGCCCTGTGGCCCATCCCCGCCAGGAAGGCGGCAGCAAGATCAGGACAGAGGTTACCCGGTACATATAGCCCTGCAAATCAGGGATGAAATACCACAGAGGACACCAGCTGTTCCACCCCACAGTGGCCCTGGGGGCCACCACTGGCACCCCAAGGCACTCTGGGACCCATGGCACACTGGGAGCGTGATAGCTCCCAGCAGCCCATGGATGGCCTGGCCAGCAGCCCTGGCACAGGGACATGGGACAGGACAGGGAAAACAACATACAGGGAAACTTCAAGGGGTTGCGATGGAGGCAGCAGCACCAAAATAGCCCTGGTTTCAACCCAAATAAGGGCAGGTCCCGGCTTTGGGGCGGTTTGAGCAATCGGCCCCAGTGTTGCCAAGTGCAGACTAGGGGAAGGGGGAGAAAGTTGCATCCTTGAGCCTGTTTGGAAGGAAAAAGGGGTTTTCAGGGGTCA